GGAAAGATTTCTTCTATTAAAAAATAAATAAATGGATGGATAATTGCTCAGTTTTCTCCTAGAACTAGCTGTTCAAGACTGAAATTTTCTAAGCAAATTTTCAAGAAAGTATTTATCAATAATCCGATTTTTTTCCTGTAAAGCCAAGTTTTACTTCATGTGCTTGTACCAATTTAGCTGTGATTACAGCTGGTTAGGATTTCATTATTGTATCTATCCTTGTGTTGTTCCTAATCCAGTTAATCTTGTTCTTTCAATTCAAAGCAAGGACAAAAAAAATCTACAAATACCAAGTTGGCATTTACTATTTTGCAAGAATTCACATGCAATTTGTTAAGAAATAATGGGGAAATGTGCCATACACTGTTCTAGCTGCTGTTAACTTAGACAGCGTTGTAGTCCTGCTTTATTCCTTAAATGGCAATGTCCCTAGTATGACTACATTGTTATTAGGACAACTACATAAATGATTTCAATAACAGTCAGTCTGTAGAATTGAACAAAATTGTTACTGTTTTCTTTGAAAAAATCACAGCTTTTCAGAACACCATGTTGTCCTTCACCAAATGTTTTGCCAAAGGAAAGAACTCCATGGTCTCACAGCCCTCAGAAGCCCCTTGGCACCACCAGTCCTGCCGCTGAGCCTGCCTGAACACATCACTGCTCAGATCCATCGGCTTTGATCTTTCCATGCTTGGCTGTGTCTGAAGTGGGTTTGACCTACTAAACTTACACCATAACCGTGCTGCGCAGTTGAGAAGGTCAGGGCAGAACTCAGGGAATCCACAAAAATGAATTTAAATTCTGTTTGTTTATGCAAACTGATCAAACGCTTGAATGAGCTCACCATGAGACCTTGCCTCCTTCCAGTGTTATGGGTCTGTTTCCCATACACCCTGCAACATCCCCAGCTTTCCAATGCACCCAGTTCCCTCCATGTATATGGCACCATATACCATCATATTTGGAGTTGTCACCATGTCCCCAGCCTTCCTTTGTTTGCTTTTTGGGCTGTGAAAGAAACTGGGCTGCAGCTCTTGCCGTGCTGCCGATGGCCCAGCTTGGCCAGCCAAGGCAGTCACGCATTCTCACTGAGCAGCTAGAATTCTGCAGGCTGCGTGCAGCGTGACTCATAGATGGGCCAAGCTGGACGTGTTACTTCTCTGCTGTCATTTTGTCATCCCATTGCATTGCATTGCACACATTCTGCGGAACCAGTCTACTCAGTGTGGAACCCAGCGCATTACCTCCCAGCTTTTTCCTTCGCTTGTTACAGCTGCTTTATTTTTTACTGGAGGTAGTTACTTGGTGTGGATTACTAAGTTAAAGGAGAAAGCTATGACTTGTGGTTCCGGCTCTTAGGAGGCAGCAGGAGCACGAGGTTTTCCCATCTGGTTTGGTATACTGTATCATAACTGCAAACACATCACCTGTTGTATTCTGGATTCTTCAGGTCATTCTGTCGTGGCTTTGGAGACACATAGATAAAGTCGATAGGAATCTCTAAATTAAAAAATATAAGCATTTTCAAGCCTCTTTAAGTATGGAAGTCTGTGTTTTCTAGCTGTCAGGCAGAGCAAGCAGAACAAGCTGCTTCTCGCTTTGTCCTCGTGTGCAGCCCCTGAGCCTTATCTTTTCTCTAGGGAGCAGCAGGGACCCCAGTCAGCCTCGGGTGGGAGCAGCAGAGCAATGGCACAGGGACACCTCCATCCTCGACTCCCTCCTCCCCCGTCCGGACCTAGATTCTAGCGAAGCCCCTGCTCTGGGAGCATCCCTCGACACAGGTATTACTCCACACCACGGGCTGTCCGGCTGACATGCAGGAGTTTCCAGGTGGAGCCATGCTCCCAAATTCATAACATTCAGGAGATGCGGTTGCAACAGCATGGCTGGAAAGCAACCCTTGAGCTTCCTGCAGATGTCAGCTCCAGGAGGTGACCAAAATGACTCGGGCCATCTCTTGTCTTTTAACCGCTCATCTGAATTGCAGATCTGTCAAAGCCCTCAGGGCCTGTTGAGGATTACCAAGGACATCCTGAATGTACATTATTCATCTGGGATTTTGCCTGTCTTTTAAAAGCCCCATTGCTAGTATGACATTGGTTATTCAGTAATCTTTATTTCATTTTTAAAATGCCTCATGATGCTGGAACACACTTTGTAATTGTGAACCCAGCTCGAAACCTGGACGGCAATCACTAACTGATTTTACAAAAATTTCACAACTTTAAGCCAAATATCGTATCATGTTCTTAAATGTCTGACTCATTTGGAAAGCTCAGGATTGTCTGTAATTATTATGGCCCCAGAAGATCTATCTCAACAGTCAGAAAGCAACTCCATTTGTAGTCAAGCATTGTAAACACAATCTTCCTGGAACTGAAAGTTGTACATTGTGCAATTTTTATGGCTTGTATATCTTTTCTTTTTTTAGTTGGTTGAAACCTGCAGTACATGATATAAATCTCCTTAAATTGTCATTCATAATGTTAATTTCCATTAACTTGGCATAAATAAGTTGTTTTCTTTCTTAAATTTGTATAGTTACTGTTTTACCTTACAGTGTTACACAAACAAAACTTTATTTTTCTCTGATACAAAGTTGATGTGAGTACAAACTGCTAATGAAATGTTTCTAGTTATGGAGTTTTTAAACCAAATTGAAAAAAACCCCACAGTATTTTCATTATGTATGTGTTATGAAGTCCAATAACTGTTCCATTACTTCAACTAACCATTTATTTAATTCTCCACCTTTGCAGAGATTTGGAAAATTTTCTCTGAGGTTTGAGAAAGCCTTATAAAATTGCACTTTTCAGTTTTTTGAAGACACAGTGGGCACAACAATTCTGTTTTTTCCTTTCTAGAAATGTATCTTGAAGGTGTAAGAGATCAGTCAGTGACAAGTATTTATACAGTACTCTCTAGCCTTGTTCTTGCTTATTTAAATAATGTCATGCATTTGGCTACCTGCAGGAATTGTTTGCGCAACATTACTTCATACCCTGGCTGAGCAGAGGGCAGGGGAGCTAAGCCTGCTGTTGGCACACCAGTTCGTTATGTCTCTCCCATAATGTGAAATGCTAAATGCTGGGTTCTGACAATGTTTTTATTTTCTAGGCTTTCCTATCCCTCTAATTACAATTCTTGGTCTTCAACACATATGCTTATTGCAACGAGTCCAAGGTTTATCAGGTACTGGGTGTTTGCTGCTTTCCATGGGGTATGGCCAGTGATTTCTGGTGCCTGGAAGGCTGGTGCAAAAGCCGAGCCACACTACCACGCTGACATGTGCTGCCAAGCATTTTTCCGTGCAAGCTTTTGGTTTTTCTTGATGCCAAAAGGAATAATGTTTGTATCAGTAAGTAGAATTACAATAAAAGATTTATTTTGCAAGCATGACGGCTACCTTAGGTCAAGCATGTGGCAAACTGCCAGCTGTACAGAGATTCTCTAAATATGGTTATTTCATACCAGGTCAGTTTTGCAGTCCTAGAATCGACCGACAAACTACTGACTGATTTTTACTCTTTTAATTTATGTTCTTTGTTTGGCATGCAGTCAATGATGTTGTACAGAATGAATTTTAAAGATATAGTAGGATAGTAGATTTTGGAATTAACTTTGATTAAATGAGTTACAGAGCTTAATATGGAGGCAAATAGTTTTTCTGGGTTTTTGCTGAGTTTAATAATTTCTCTAAGACAGTGACATACAAATCCTAAAGCACTGTGCTGACAAAAGAAAATCTGGAAGTGTAACTGGATAGAAATGAACATGAACTGATTAATTTAATTTAGTTTCCTAGCTGATAAATATTGTAATAATAAACAAACATATGTATTCCTCAAACTGCATTTAGCTTAGCAGAGTCTTTCAGGTTTAAAGATATAAAATACTCTTAATAATTCAGAAAGGAAATATTTATTCAACGTGAGGACTTTGTCCTGACTTTTCTGAATATATATATACTGTGAAGTGTTCTTAGTATATACACAGCAGAGGCTGAGGCGGTTAGTCTGAGCTTGCTTTTTCTGGACAGCTATGCTTACCAATGGAATACTGGATGCTCTGGAGAGCTGCCCTCTAACTTTCAGTTGGGCAGGTCTGAAAAAAACTCTTTCTCCTCTGAAGTTCCTGTGGTGTGCAAGTAGACAAATAGAGATAAGGAAAAGCTCTTATCTGTGGCTTATGCAGTGAATATTAAGAGGAAAGAGGTGATGCTCACTTAGAAACTAGGGACAGAAACCCGAGTGAGGTTTATTCTCACGGGGAGTAAACCATTATGTGAAATGAGCACGTGAGAATACTTTCTGTTACATCTTAAGATAACTGAATATAGCACGTTCATATGACAAGAGGTCAATTTGCATCCTCACAGGAGGAAAACTGGTTAATCTTCCTTTTCCCAAACCACAGGCAAGAAGCTAAAAAGCAACAACAATACCATTTTGAGCAATTCAGAGGCAGGAGGAAAGACCAGGGTTTTTACCATAACTAGCATTTACACCTAAGAAAGCAGCTGCTCGGATGGCACAGGGTCCGACTCGCTCCCGGCGGAGCCAAGATGTGACAGAGCTGCCAACAGCAACCGCAGCAGGCCCTTGCCAAGGCCATGAGTCCACCACACATGCACAGGAGAAGCAGCCCAAAGTAATTTCTCAGTCACCTAAATTTCTCTGAAGGCAGCTGAAAAATATTTAAGTAAACAAATAAGTAATGCTGAGACATTACATAACTGCTGGGTCAGACAGTTTTTCACTAAATAGAGAGAAACAGTCATTTCTCTATTTATACACTGCTTTCTTACCTGATTTACCAATCATATACCATCTGTATATGCCTTGTTAATTTTTTTTTTGGATGATGACCAAACTTTTTGGCATTATTGTGAAAAGTCAAATCAATCTTTTGCATTTGTATTGAGAGACCCAGTGATGCCTGAATATTTAGAGGCACCCACCAATTCCCTTCAGCAACACTAAGACCCATATTGCTCTTCTGTCATCCACCTCCTCATAGGAAATAGGAACTTCAAAATGTTATGATTATTTTTTTTCAAATTTACCCTAATTATTATAAATTAGTCTCTATTTTCACTGGGTCTAACTAAAAGAAAGCTAACACGGATCCAATGTTTATTGCTGTTTCTTAAATTACTTGTTTTGGACAATCCTGGCCAGATTCCTCCCATTCCTCCTCCCAAGAGGGAGCGTTCAGCACAAGGAGTTGTGGTTGGCGAGTCAAACGGCTCCTTTTCCAGTTAGGTAGCTCAGTAAGGGTGAGTTTTTGACCCTTTCCAGTATATTTTAGAAATACTGGATTCTCTGCTCCTCTCGGCCAGAAATGTCCCTGCAGCAGTGGTTTGTGTACTGATCCTTGTAGAAAATCCATCCCAGCAGCACAAGCCGCTTGAGTTTGTGACTTCATTAACACAAAGTTGGCAGGATTGGTCATAGCAGGGACTGTGAGGGGCGGACATATTCTCACAGCCTCTGTCATGTCCTAACATTTGCCACCAAGCGTGGCACTGTGTCAGATGCTGATATAGGTGCCTACTACTGCCTCTCCACCCAAGAGCATTTGTGATAATGCATTTGTGGGTTCAGTGCCAGTTTATCACTCAGTTTACTGATGTGCCCAGATTAGGGGCACAACCTCTTTAGAGAGATTGGTGGTGGCTCAGAGACGCAAAACTGAGACCTCTTAGCACACCCCAGGGGCAAGACGCAGCGATGTCCTCCAGCCACGTCCTCTCTCAGGGAGGCTGGGGCAACACCGCACTCTGCCCCGTGCCTTTTTCCATAGAAAGAAAATCAGGGGATGCTTTCCCTGATAGACAGGAGCCATGGTGGACTTCAGCAGTGGTCACTGGAGATGCATGACTGAGGATGAGGACAGGCCTGAAGTCTTAACATAACCTCAGAGAGCTTGGGCTCCATTTCAAAGACACTGCAGATTACCGATGAAATCTAAACTCCTAGCTCAGTCACACAAGTGAGATACTTAAAGCTGAACAGTGTGAACTTGTGCCAGTGCAGATGATTTTATCTTCATGTAGTCTTGTAAAACACCCACTCCATTTGTAGGAGCTCTTTTAAATATCTTTCCATGGCTCTGAACTGAATTTACTTTCTAAGAAAAGCAGCTAAGAATTTTTTACTCTATTCCAGCAGAAGAAAAGAGAATTCAACCTTTTTTAGAAAGTTAAGCAAGGTATGGTGTTTGGCTAGTTGCAACAAGACAAACAGAATTCACTTAGATTTTATCCCTGTTGAAACTGGGTTTTAAGAAGTCACAGCCATTAAAGCAACTTGAATCTGTCAGCAGGTAATTTTAGTTATGTTAATGCGAGACCAAGCCCATGCAAAGATATTTATTTGCTTCTTCCTTCTCTCTTCCTTCCCTACTCAAACTAACTATGCTGTGTTTTCAGCTTAGCCTGACTTGTTGCTCTGAACAAAAAGCCAGGTGAAGTTCTGAGCAGATTAACATTGACAGGCTGTTCAAAAAAAATCAAAACCAGCTCAACCTGCAGATGTTGGATAACTCTTTAATTTTGTTCTTTTCGAGTGAAGAAATTGTCTAGGGATTTTGAAACCAAGACTTTAGAAGAGGCACATAAATATGGTTTCTATAAATGAAAGCTATTAAAGTTGATGAGGCCATTTTCAATGCCCAGGTGAGGTATCTGCAGGTTTTTGTGCTGCTCCCTGTCAGCCTGAGGCATGGATATTATTTAAAACAGTTAGGCAGATATTTACTTCTGTACTTTCTTTGCCAC